GAGGGAGGGAGGGAGGGAGGGAGGGAGGGAGGGAGGGAGGGAGGGAGGGAGAGAGGAAGGAAGGAAGGAAGGAAGGAAGGAAGGAAGGAAGGAAGGAAGGAATGTATGTTTGTACAATGAAGGATGTCTGTCACAGGGCTGGGAGATGGCTCACTCAGTAAGGTGCTTGTCATAAATGCCTGAGCACCTGGATTCGATCCCTAGCACACACATGAAAACACCAGGCGTGGTGGCACACCCTTGAAATCTTAGTACGAGATTGGAGATGGGGATCCCTAGGGCTTGTTGGCCAACCAGCATGGCCTAGTTAGTGAACCCCAGGTCCCAGTGACAGACCCTGAGAAAGGAGACTCCTTATGCTTCTCCTTATGGTTCATACAAATGGAATTGTACAGCTTATAGTCGCTGGTTTTGTAAGTCTGAGCTTTTTCTCTCAGATAAAGTGTTTGAAATATTTTTAAAAACATTGTCCTTCAATTTAAAAAAATAAGTATAGTTTTCAAACTTGATATTTTATATTTATTGTATATACTTACATACTAAACATAAGATTTCATGTTATAAAGAACATTTATAGGTAGACTCTCATTATAATAGAAACAAATCACAGCAAAGTGGAATTCTGCCCTCTCAACTAAAGCCACCACCTAAATCATGTTCTTGTCCCAGTTTGAGGTGAGCTGTAAGCACGGTCTCATTGTCAACAGGTTCTCTCTGACTCTCAGCACAGAGGGTTCAAGTCTCTTGTCCAGTGTCAAGAGTGTAGCACGTTTGTGAGAATTCAGATCCCAACTCGTATTTTAAAAGCTTTTTCTTTAGCTGTATTTATTTTTATTTTATGAGTGTTTCACCCGTGTGCATTTCATTGAACCACATGCATACCTGGTGCCCATTGAGGTGAGAAGAGAGAGTTAAAGCCCTTGAAACTAAGGATGGATTGTTGTTGTGACCCACAGTGGCAATAATGGAAACGGAGCCTAGGTTGTTTGCAAGAGCGACGAGTGTTCCTAACCTCTGAGCCGTCTCTCCATCCCTCACACCCCAGTTCTTCTTCATCGTCATTCATTCATTCACTCACTCATTCACTCATTCACTTATTAGTGTGCCCACCATCTGAGACGTTCCTGGGGATATAGACAAGGAACAGAGAGGATACAGCCAGTGCCCATGTTGAACTTACATTCTAGTTTTAGAAAGACAGAAAATAAGCAATGAAATAGGTAAATACACAGTGCTTCATGCACTGTAGCTTCTGTGAAAAACCACGAGCAGGGTCAAGCATGTGGAGAGTGCCTGAAGGCAGGGACGGCTTCCATGATGTCCTGTGGCCGACTCCATAAGAGGAAAGGAAGCAGTCAGGAATCCATCAGGAAGCTGGGCGACAAGGAATTTATCATATGAGCATTGGGAGGATACCGGGAAATTTGGAACTAAAGAGAAATAGTCTGTTGCCCATTTTAAAACCACCATCCTGGAAACAGCACAAGCGTGAGAACCTCAGTTCCCACTCCTGGCGTCACAATAATAAGGCAGGCCTACAGCGTACACCTGTGGCCCCGCACTGGGAAGGCAGAAACAGGAAGGCCTCTAGGGCTTGTTGGCCAGCTTTTCTAGCCAGTCATTGACCTCCAGGTTCACTGAGAGACTCTGTCTCATTTAATAAGGTAGAGGGTGATTGAAAAAGACACCCAAGGTTGACCCTTGGCCTCCATATGCACATGTGCTCACACACATGTAAATAAGTAAATACCGTGCTGGGTGCTGTGTTGAAACTACACTTGGTGCAGATGGGAGTGTAGAACGTAGGCTTAGGTTTTTCACGACCTACTTTAACAAGGTTTCTCAAACTCTCCAGCCTCCCTTCTAGCCCACCACTCACCAGAGGTAGTGGAAAGACAGGTTATTAGGACACAGGGGAAGTGAACTTGTTTAGAAATTGTTCTTTGGGGGCAATTCCACTCTTCGCTGTCAGGATATCAGCGGTTCCTAGTAAACCAGCAAACACAAAGCAGCAGCAGCAGCTCTGACTGGGATAAACTGGATAGGCATGAGTTCGGCAAGCCACTGGAATATCACCAGAAGTTCTTTGGTGAGTTACTCTCTACGAAGTCACAACAAGCGAAAATCAGCAACATGGTGTAAGGCCAACCAGTGCCAGAGCATTGTTAGCAGAGAGTAGCGAGGCGGTGCAAGGCGAACCAAAGCACCAGCCTTGCCCCATGGACTGGGTCGTGTTTCTATACTTTCTAAACATGACGTGTCCTTTCATGTGTCTGCTTCAGCAAAACATCCTTTCACCTGTCTGCCCCAGCGAAACATCACTTGTCATAACTGAGTTCCCAAAGAAACCAGAAATTTCCACTTCAGTAGAAGGCTAGAGCAGAATCTGCTTCCTTCTGTTTGCTTGTCTGTGTTCTTTAAAGTGCGTCTACAGATTGCTTGACTAGCTGGTGTCAGTGGCTGGAATAGAGTCCATAGACCGCTGCTTGATGACATTCCAGCGGCTCCCCAGACTCACACCTATCCAGTCCATCCCGTCAGACCCGAGGACAACAGACTGAAGAGAGTCCTGTTATTTATATTTGGAGAATCCCTACCTATAATAGTAATATAAAAATAAGCTATAGCATAGGTCAGTTAGCTAACTCAGCCTTAGAGGTGCATGCCACCATGCCTGGTAACCTGAGTCTTACCCCCAGGACCCACATGGTAGAAGGATCGAACGGAAAGTTGTTCTCTAACCTCCAACCGTGCTGTGGCATGCACAGGCCCACGTGAATGCACACATATGTGCCCACTCACATATAGAAGACATAAATGTAAAAACACTTAAGGCCACAATGCATGTGTCAGTGGCCTGTATTTGTCGAGAATCAGAAGCATTAGTGTAAGGTCGTCATTCACAGCTCCTAAAATCGGAGTCTGTGGCTAGGTCTGAGGTCTCTCTAAGTCTCTGTAGGCCCCAGCCATGCACTGAAACCCAGCAGAGGTGGAGGGCTCCAGCTCCTCTACTGTGGCAAGCCCGTCATTTATCCAAGAAGTGGCATGGCAACAGGTCTTCACAGTGTTCATTACATGTTCAGGTAAATGAATCAGGGTGCTAACACAATTAGATTCTTGGTTTCAATTGGAAGGCACAAATACCTGTTCTTCCCTTGGTCTAGTTGATAAGTTTAGATGGGTTTCTTAGGGAATCCTTGTGCTTGTGTTTTTGCAAGAAAATGGCAACTCCATGTCTAGTTCCTTCTCTGGTTTCACAGGGAAAAGGAATGAGTGCTGCTACTGTCTTACCTGGGGAAGTGAGCTAGAGCGACTTACAGAACGCAGTGGTAGTGAGCTAAGACTTACAGAAAGCAGGCAAGCATGAGCATTTGTTCTACTGCCTCACGGAATCCAGATTTTTGTATCTTTAGGTAGAGGAGATCTTCAGGAACTCACCTTTCCTGGTCCCGGATGACAGCGTTAGCATCATGGATGGATCCTATGAAGGTGGGACAGATGATGAAATACACACTTTTGTGGAAAGGGATGGAGTCAGTGCAAGATCCAGTTAAAGGACCTGGGAATAAAGATGCAGCATGAAAGCGAGGGCAGAAAGCTGCAGGGAGGGACGGTGCAGGGAGCCTGCTAGCGGCATGGGATTCAGAGAAAAGCAGTGCAGAAGGAAACTGTCTGAAATGTAAACGTTCTCTTTCTCTCCTGTAGGCATACTAGCTTGGGTTACTGTGAACTTCCTAACAGGTAAAAGAAATAGATCTTGAAGTGTATCTTACAACTTTAACTGGCTTTTACAGGTAGACCAGGAGGGCGAAATCTACTTTTCTTTTCCTGAACTGTTCTTTCATTAAAAGAAGGGGGTGGTGCTAGAGAAATGGCTCAGCAGTTAAATCTGCTCATTGTCAGTTCCCAGCAGCACCCACACGGGGTGGGGCGGGGGTAGGGTCCAGGCCTCTAGCTTCTGGGCAGGTATACTCGTCTGTACACACCCATATATATACCCAGAATTAAAACGGAACAAAATTTCTTTGTAAAAAAAAAGAAGAGGGTAGGGAGACAAGCTAACTCTACAACCTGCACACGAGGCCTCAGCGGGAACAAGGGGCTCTCTGGGTTTGCATTAGCCTGCAGCCTTCGGGCTCAGGAGCAGTGAACCGTCACGAGATAGATTTGGAGTACAGTAAGAGGGAGAGAACCTGCAGAGAATGAATGGGTGGGTGGCCTGGGTGCTCTTCCCCTGCTCTCATTATCAGGTCAGCTGCATGGCCGAGGCCAGGAGACTATGGGGACCCTTGACCTGGGGGGTGCCTCCACCCAAATCACGTTTCTACCCCAGTTTGAGGTGAGTCATTTTTACCAAGGCCTTTCTGGCAACACACTTAGATAGCATCGTGGTGCTAAGAAAGTATCACGCTGCTGTGAGACATCGGCTCTGCAGTGACTAGGCCACAGAGTGGATAAGTGACTGGAGAAAGTCTCTCTGGCTCCTTTGGGAGACATGGAGTTTAATCTTCCCCATGTCTGATTTAGGGGAGGGTTGTGGATGGCGGTGTTAAAATCTTCATGTGATTGCAGGTGCTGAGTAGCCTTTTTGCTTTTTCTGATTTGCAGAAAACCCTGGAACAAACCCCTCGGGGCTACCTCGCTTCCTTTGAGATGTTTAACAGCACCTTTAACCTCTATACACATAGGTGAGGAAGGGCGGGGGAGGAATAGCTCACACTGGGTTACTTTCCTTACTTCTGCTTACCATATCTTACCAGCCTCAGAAAGCCTCTGCCAGTCCCCTAGGCCCTGTCTATTGAAACCTAAGCCAAACCAAACCTGAGACACCTGGGAGGCAGCTCCAGTTTTGGCCTCAAAAGTATGTGATCTAAGAGTCACTTTCTCTTTAGTCGACTGCATGTGGAGAAAGCTCAGACCTCAGCCAGAGCTCACTCCCAACTCACTCAGTCAGGGCCTCAGGGCTTCAGAGACCAGTCTGGAACTGATAAGAGCTTTCCTGGGGATGGCTCTCAGGCTGGGCTGCCAGGAACAATCAAATTCCTCAGTATCACACCCATGAGCATTCTTACTGCAAATCCTTGACCCAGACTATAGAAGTCTTCCTTTACTGTCCAGGAGAACAAATACAGCACAGAGGGAGTCGGAGAAACCATGTCACGCTTGAAGAAGGCAGCAGTGGGCTGAAAAGATCTAGGCTAACCTGAGACTAGTCAATCTTGTATTTTTCAGTTACTTGGGATTTGGACTCAAAGCTGCAAGACTAGCCACTCTGGGAGCTCTGGAAGCAGAAGGTTTGTCAGCCCCAGTCTGCAGTGGAGGACTGAAAGAGATGCCAGAACACAGCCTGCCCTCTCCCCTTGCTTGCCATTTGTTCTATAGAGCAAAGGGCTGTGCTGGTCTGGGGAGTGTGTGTTGCATAACAGACATAAAAGCTGCCGGTGCTATGATGTGTATTCATCATCTTTAGAGCAAAGGTTGCTACACAGGACCTGTAGCTACAAGGCTGGAACCTCCACAGTATCTGGGAGGAACTTGCAGAAGCCTTTGTCAGGAAGCAAAGGCTTCTGTTTGCCAAGTGGAATGACTGAGCAATTCCTTTGCTGTCTCACAGTTGGGCACAGGCAGAATTGGCTGCAGTCTCAGTTTTGTGATTGGAGACAAATAAGTGACCCTTCTGTGCCCTGTTCTTCACCTTCCACAGGAGTTTGTGTCTAATGCATTCCAGACAGTGCTTGCTCACAGTAAGCGGGTCCTGGGCCGAGGCACACAGCACTTTGGTTTGCCAAGTTATCTTCAAGTATTGTTTCTTTTAACCTCTCAACTACCAGTGGAGGACTTTCCTTCCATTAAAGAAAGGAACTTACTGTGGGTTTTTTATTTCTTTGGGATGTGATAAAAGTTATAAACCCCCTGGCAAATGTGCACGTGCATGAAAGTTTGCCTCTGGCTTAGACTGCTCAGCAGTACCTCAAAGCCTGTGAAGAGTCCATGTCGCAGGATGCAGCCAGGGAGCTGCTCTGACAAGGTTATAAGGCCCAGTCCCCTTGATCCCTTCAGCTACAGGTGCTTCTTGCTTCTTCTCCCTCTCACAGACTTGCCTTCTTGTGTTGCGTTCTTTCAGGGACTGATGGACGTACTTTTCGAAGTGCCTGTTTACCAAGATGGTTGGAAGCAGAGTGGGTCTTTGGGGGTGTGAAATACCAGTATGGTGGTAACCAAGAAGGTGAGTGGTGTTTCTTCACTGGTTAAGATGACCTTCCTAGTGCATGTTCTGGGAAAGTCCAGTAGGAAGGTTCCAGAGCCCAAAGGAGACTTGCCATGTCGAAAACACTTATTCTAGAGGTCTTGGTATATCCAGAGCACCAACTCTGCATACCATGGTAGTTCCACAGTAGTGCTATAAACCTGCTGTAACCCGTCTAAGGCAGCAGTAAGGACCCTGCTTCAGGTTCAGTGAATGTTTAACAATCTCATTTATAGTAAAACTCTAAATTGAGGTAAGAATCATTCATCTTAGATATTAAAGTCGGGGGAAATTTTGTTATCCCAGAGAAGGAAACAGGTAAGCTTTCTGACTAGTTGCTCACAAGGACCATGATCCGTAATGACAGACAGGAGCACGGTGGCCGTGGCTGCAGCTGTGGCTAGAGCTGGTTTGGGTGAACAGTAGTTAAGGGGAGGAGCTTCCATGGACAAGCAGTGAGGTTAAAGGAAGTTACACGGCTGTTTTTAGTGTGTGTGTGTGTATGCGTGTGTGTGTGTGTGTGTGTGTATGCGTGTGTGTATGTGCGTGTGTGTGTGTGTGTATGCGTGTGTGTATGTGTGTGTGTGTGTGTATGCGTGTGTGTATGTGCGTGTGTGTGTGTGTATGCATGTGTGTATGTGTGCGTGTGTGTATGTGTATGTGTGCGTGTGTGCATGTGTGTGTGTGTGTATGTGTGCGTGTGTGTGTATGTGTATGCATGTGTGTATGTGTGCGTGTGTGTGTGTGTGTGTGTGTATGTGTGTGTGTGTGTGTGTATGCGTGTGTGTATGTGTGTATGCATGTGTGTATGTGCGTGTGTGTGTGTGTATGCATGTGTGTATGTGTGCGTGTGTGTGTGTGTGCGTGTGTGTGTGTGTATGTATATATTTTATACATTTTGCCTATATGTTTGTATGTGTCTAATACCCATGGAGGTCAGAAGGAGTCAGATGCCCTAGGACTGGAGGTACAAACAGTTGTGAACCTTCGCATGGTTGCTGGGAACTGAACCCAGGTCCTCTACAACAGCAGGAAGTGAGGGCTGAAGAAATTGCTCAGGGTTAAGACCTCTTGTTCCTCTTTCAGAGGCCCAGGGTTTAGCACCCACATGGCAGCTCACATCTGTCTGAAACAGCAGGTCCAGGGAGGCTGGACTCGGAAGGCACCAGATACATACATGGTGCACACACATGCATGTAGGCAAACACACTTTTCAACGAGCAGCCAGTGCTCTTGATTGAGGCGTGTCTCCAGCCCCCAGGGCTTGTGCTTAGCTGCCGAGGCAACGCCACCCCCCAGTTGCATACTTGCAGAGAAGGCACAGCTGTTTCTGCTACTGCTGCTGGTCTTCAGTTTCTCAGACGTGGTGAGCTGGCAGTACCTGGCTCTGGTTTTCTTGGAGTGCAGGTCCAGCCCTTTTATTCCTCGTCCTTGCGGACTCTCCTGAGGCCTTTTCTCTGAGTATAATGATGGAGAGGACACAGTCATGCATTTGTGGACAACTCATATGTTGAACAGCTTGGACCACACTCCCCCTGTCACTTTGTATTGCATCAGCTTCACCTCAGATTGTCCTGCTGTTTCAGAGCCCCGCCTCTTCTATGAGGGTATGGAGCCTACCCTCAGCCATAGCTAAGCTGCTCCCACCACTTCTGCTCAGAGGCTAGGCGTCTGCCTGCTTGCTTTCTTGTTCTTCTCTCATTGGCTCTAGCAGCTTGCCGCTGAGAGCGATTGCTGCCACACCATTATTCTCAAGTGATATATACTTTTGCCCTGACAGGGGAGATGGGCTTCGAGCCCTGCTATGCAGAAGTGCTGAGGGTAGTTCAAGGAAAGCTTCACCAGCCAGAAGAGGTTCGAGGAAGCTCCTTTTATGCTTTCTCCTACTATTACGATCGAGCCGCTGATACACACTTGATTGGTGAGTTCATGCCTAAGGTCAGGCCGTGAAGGAAGACAATGGGACTAAGCTGGGAAAGAGCACTAAAGTCTGTGTTGGTTGGAGTGACTTCCCAGTTCTTTTCCAGTAGCCTTCTACCCGCCTCTAGAACGGGAAGGAGAATGAGTATACTGGGGTCTTTGGGAAGTGGAAAATGACCTAACTGTATGTAAAGTCTCTGGGAGGGAGGTTTTTACTATGTATCTCCACTGATATTGAACCCACTATGTAGCCCAGGTTGGCTCCAAATTTGTAGCCATCCTTTTGTCCCAGACTTCTGTGTTATAAAGTTACACAAATATGCCCCTATGCCAGACTTTGTATATGAAGTCTTTTTATTTAGATTGAATCCAGAACCTCTGTACATGAGACAGTTCAAGGTTGCCCAAGATGGCTTTGAGACTTTGTAGCCTGTGCATGCCTTGTACTTGTGATCCCCCTGCCTCCTGAGAAGCTAGGATCTCAGGCCTGTACTACCACACGTAGGCTTCTTTCCATCTTCATTGAGTTGTAACTGTGTTAGCTCTTTTGTAAATTTGATTAAGTATTGAGAGGAGTGTCAGAGGTGTAAGGATTTCTTCTGGATCACAGTTTCAGAGGGTTCAGTCAGGGTCAGCATCTTCCTTGTTTCTGCCATGGTAAGACAAAAAATAACAGTGGAAGGGCTTGGAGCAAAGTTGTTGACCTCCTGGCAGACAGGATGCAAGGAAAGGCAGAGGATGGCCCCTAGAACAAGATGGAGCCATCAACAACACATTCCTTTTTTTTTTTGTTGTTTTTTGTTTGTTTGTTTTTTATCATCATCATTTTTTATTGGATATTTTATTTATTTACAATACAGATGTATGTCATCCCCTTTCCCCATTTCCCCTCCCTAGAACCCCCATCCCATTCTCCCTCCTCCTTTATGTTTTTATACCATTTTGATTACAAGCATGTATTAAGGTCAGTTCTAGGTTGAGGGTCTAGCAATATAATAGATGCAAATATTTTTGTTTATATGTGAGAGTGCACACAAGACCTGAGAGATGAGTTGCTGTCCTGTTTACTGTATTTTTAAATGTATGTGTATGTACCTGCATGAGTTTATAAGTACCACGTATGTGTAGATGTCTGCAGAGGCCAGTAGAGTTACATTACAGGTGGGCGTAAGCTACCTAGTGTAGGTTCTGCAGCCAAACCTGAGCCCTCTGCAAGAGTAGAAAGGGCTTGTCTTTTCCTTTCTTTTCTTTCTTTTCTTTTTTCTTTTTTTGGTTTCTCTGTGTAGCCCTGGCTTGCCTAGAACTCACTTTGTAGACCAGGCTGGTCTGGAACTCACAGAGAGCTCCCTGCCTCTGCCTCCTGAGTGCTGGGATTAGAGGTGTGCACCACCACTGCCCACCTACAGTAAGTGCTCTTCACCACTGAGCCATCTCTCCAGCACATTTACTATACTTTTGAATGAACTTAGGTTTTTACTGTGGTTGAATATGTAATACAAAGTGAGTAACATGCATTAATTGTAAAGAAAGAAAATCAGCAGCATGGGTTTGTATTGTAGAGAGGTCATGAGTCTCTTTTGTAGGAAATGCTGCAGATCTTTCTTTCTTTCCTTCTTTCTTTTTTCTTTCTTTCCTTCCTTCCTTCCTTCCTTCCTTCCTTCCTTCCTTCCTTCCTTCCTTCCTTCCTTCTTTTTTTTTTTTGAGACAGGGTTTCTCTATGTAGTGCTGGCTGTCCTGGAACTCACTCTGTAGACCAGGCTGGCCTCGAACTCAGAAATCCGCCTGCCTCTGCCTCCCAAGTGCTGAGATTAAAGGCAGGCACCACCACTGCCCGGCAGATGCTACACATTTCTAGTTCATATTTACTGTGTATCACTGGGATGAAGGTCCTTGTTTCCTTGTTACTATGTATCACTGGGATGAAGGCTCTTGTTTCCATGAAGCTTTCGATGCTATCTATTGTTCTCTTTCATTTTAGATTACGAAAAAGGGGGTGTTTTAAAAGTTGAAGATTTTGAAAAAAAAGCCAGGGAAGGTAAGTGTCAGAAAATTCTTGAAGTTGAGCATGAGGTGTGGCTGTGAGTGTAGAGCCTCTCGGGACTGGCTCGCTTCTGAGCCTGCCTTCCAGTCTGCTGGACGATGCATTGGTGCTGTCAGATAAGAACACAGGGATATAAGACACTTTAGAGAAATGGTTCAAACAAACAAGCTTTCTATGTTTCTATGTTTTCCCTATTATTATTACCTCATTACTATTATTTGCTTGTGGGGATTTTTGTTGTTGTTGTTTGGGTTTTTGGGGGTTGTTTTTGGTTTTTTTGAGATAAGGTCTTATGTAGCCCAGGACAGCTTTATGTAGCTGAGGATAACCCTGAGTTCTGATCCACATCTCAAGTGCTAGGATTACAGGCATGAGGTACGGTGACTGAGTTATGTGGTAGTAGGGATGGAGTCCAGTCTTGTGGATGCCAGGCAGTCATTGTAACACCCCGACTAGCTGCACACTCGGCCTGGCACGGTCTCTCACGGTTCCCTTTAAATTGAAACAGGGTTATGAGCAGTCATAAAGAACTGAGTGGGGGAGTGCATGGGAGAGTGCCACATGGACATCCCTGAGAGAGTAATCAAATGGTCTCTTCCAGTAGTCACAAGAGAGGGCTAAAGGACATTTCTCTGCTCTCTGGGTTCACCTGGGGACTTGGTACTAAGCAGCCACAGTAACTCATAGAAATTTGGAAAGCAGGGTACTGTAAGTGCACCTTGGTGGTGTGTGCCAGGGCTGGCCTGGTTTCCAGCAGAGCCTTTCCCCTGCCCCTACCACCCCTAAGTGGCAAATGAGCTAAGACCCATGTAAATACGAATAGGTGATTCATACCGGAAATGTGCAGATTCTAAAGAAGTAAGTACAGGTGCTAGTCTCCAGGAAGCCTGGGCAACACCTAGAGACATCTTTGCTTACTAAAGTCCTATCTCTATGTAGAGAAGCCCCCCATCTCTTAGCCGCAAGTGTGAATGCCGTCTGCTCTCTCACTTTTAGTGTGTGACAACTTGGAGAGCTTCTCCTCAGGCAGTCCTTTCCTCTGCATGGATCTCAGTTACATCACGGCCTTATTGAAAGATGGCTTTGGCTTTGCCGACAGCACCCTCTTACAGGTAAGAGGCAGGGCACCGCAGCTGGGAAACACTTGTTTGGTGATCAGAGCAGCAGTTGTTCTTGTTTGGGCTGTAGCCTAGGCACTCTGCTAGGTACAACAGACACTGGGATGCAGTTTAGTCTCTGAGCACAGTACCAGGCATGCTATCCTGCAGGACACAGGACAGAAAGACTTGGAGCCCAGTGAAGATGTTCAAGTTCCATACTTCATGAAGTCAGTTTAGAACCCAGTGGGAAGCACTGAGAAGGAGATGGGAGAAATAAACACCTAGAGTACAGTGCAGGCAAGTGGGAGAGCCATGCTTCCCGAATCCCAGGTTTCTCATCCTCATCTGCCACTGATCATGAGGTTATAAGAATTTCACTTTGATCAAGAGAGCACAAGATAACAACAAGTATCGAGGGCCATCACACAGATTCATATTCAGAGAGCCCCTGAAGCAGGGACACCTGACTGGTGACGTTGGTGTACCCCTTGTCCCATTTTGCACACTAGTGTTAACACTGAGTGCTGACTGCATTAGTGTCTCAGACATATGTAGTGTCTCCTGTATATTCGAAGTCTGATGGGGAGTTCGTTTAATCTCTTCTAATGGACTGTATGCTGCTTGAGGACAAGGATCAGATTTTAACCATCTTTGTGAATATAATTTGTAGCCATTCAATAATGGCATTGAAAGTAAAAAAACAAATGGTATAAAATTCATATTTTATTGGGGCTAGAGAGATGGCTTAGCGGTTAAGAGCAGTTGGTGCTTTTGCAGAGGGTCCCTGTTTGGTTCCCAGCATCCACATGGAATTTTTTTATTTATACACATAAAAAATGTAAATACCTTTCTTTAATTATATGTTTTAGGGGGCTGGAGAGATGGCTCCACAGTTATACTTGCCGCTCTCCCAGAGGACTGTGTTCAATTCTTAGCACCTATGTCAGATGGCTCACAACTACCTATAACTCCAGCACAACTACCTATAACTCCAGCTCCAAGAGATCCAACACCTCTGGCCTGCACTCACCTGCACTCAGTGGGCACACACTGGTCTGCACTCACCTGCACTCAGTGGGCACGTACTGGCCTGCACTCACCTGCACTCAATGGCACATACTGGCCTGCACTCAGTGGGCACATACATACTCACAGGCAGACACTTATATCCACACATAATTGTAAAAAATAATCAAACTGAAAACCTTTTTAAAAGATCTATTTTACAATAAATAGCTTATCACAGAGGAAACAGAGCCTGCATGTACTGAAATCTATGGGGAGGGACAGAAAGGCTTAGACACAATTATTAAAAAATTAAAAACAATTTTATAAACAATAATCTAACCCCCTTTTCTGTAATTGAGGGATCAGCTCTGAAGTTTGGTCCAAAGCAATAAAGGTCCTGAAGTATCCAGACAGTCGGGTGCAGACCGCCCCGTTGGTTGTTAGTGCTCAAGAGACAGTTGCTTACACAGACTCGGAAAGCTGAGCGTGCTTCCCTACCCTAAATACACCCCCAGCTCTTGCCAGTTCCGTTCCTGCCACATCCATGATCACTAGGTTATGATCTGCCTTATCAGAAGTTGGTGATTCAGAAGACAAAGCACAAGGTCTCTACTTTTTGTTGAGTTTCAGGAGCATCCGCAAGCCCATCTGACAGAACGTTCTCTCCAGATGTCTGGAGAGCACCACTGCCTGAGCACGCTGCCTGTGCATGCCTGCCTGAGCATGCTGCCTCTGGAGGTAGTTAGGTCTTGGTCATGCTAGTGTTCTTTACAGGTAGCAGCTGTCCAAAGACCATACTTGCATATGTTGAAAACTGCATAAAAAATGTGAAGACATTTTTTTCTCTTCTTCTTCAACAGCTCACAAAGAAAGTGAACAACATAGAGACTGGCTGGGCCTTGGGGGCCACCTTCCACCTGCTCCAGTCTCTGGGCATCGCCAGCTGAGGCCACGCGCAGCCTCTGAAGCCTGCATTTCTGAACAATACTTTAATGGGAAGGAGTGGACTCAGACATTTTCTGACCTTCTCTGGGAAAAGCCTGGACCGAAATCTGTTAACTGGCTTTATAAGGAGGGAGGGGGTTTATAGATGAGTCTCGCCCTTGAGCCTAGTGATTTGGGCTTAAATAATTTTGCACATCTAATGTGAATGGCTCCTAACCACTTGGGGGGTGCATAGCTGGCACCAGAGTGTAAATCTTTTGAGATTCTTTGTATGTTACAGAGTCCTGCAAAGAAAAAAAAAAAAAAAAAAAAAGAAGGTTTGGAACTCCATGTTAGATTTTGAGTTCAGAGACAGGTCCCTGGGAACCAAAGAACAATCTCATTTCAACCCTTGGATGCCTCACTGCTTTGGATGGTTTCATTTTCGCTTATAAGCTAAATTAAGCCGATTTACTGAAATCCCATAACCCATCAATACTGGTAACTTTTTTCTTCCTATCCTTATTCCCTACCCTAAAATCCTGGGGGAAAATACCTGGCTTGTCTTTCCATCTATGATTGAGAGGGAGAGGGGAAAGGGTGCTGTATTAGAATTTGTGTGATCCTGTGGCACAATAGATCTACCAACCAATTTAGAGCTTAGAGTTGTCCTAAGTGTTTTAGTTTTAGATAAGGGCCTTGTGTTGTTCAGGCTGGCCCAGAACTCAGTATGTAACCCAGGTTGCCCTGAATTATCAATTCTCCTGCCTCAGCCTCCTGAACCTTGGGATTACAGGTGTGAGCTATTTTGCTCATGTCGTGGTCAATCTTACCAAGATGGAGAGAGTAGCAACTGCCTAAATTAGAGCTACATGTCAGGAGACCGTCTGGTCTCCAGGGATAGCGGTTGCCACTCTGGGCTTGCACATTCAGCTCTAGAGATGTGTGCCTATCCAGTTCCAGCACTGCCTCCCAAGCCAGCGTGTTTATAGAATTAGACACGGCTCTGAACTGGGTACCTTTATATTTCTGTGACGTACAGCCGTGCCCTTGTTTTTGCTCTGCGGTTAGAAGTTAGTGTGTGAGCTATTTGTGTCTCAAGATTACCAATGCTTTCAGATGTCCTTTTGTGGGTTGAGGTGTGAAAAGTGCTGGAGATTGAACCCAGGACTTCTTGAATATTAAGCACAATGTGCTAGTACTATGCTTTTATACTAGGGTTTTCCTGCCTAGGCCCTTGCTGAATTTAGCTATTTTCTGAATTTATTGTTTAGCTCAGGATTTCAGATTCCCTTTCCAATGATACTCAAATTTGATTTGCTATCAAAATTGGCTATTTTGATCCATGTTGGTACAGGTCGGAACAATGAGTAGCATTAGAGAACCATGTTTTCTCTCCCAGGACGTTTTCTGTATTGTGGTTGAACACAGGTCGTCCTGCATGCGAGGCATGGGTGCTCACTCTACTGCATTATTTAGCCCTTTAAAGTCATTACCTTAAAGATTTTAAACTTCTGTCACCATGTCGTTTGTGGTATAACATCACTGGCCTCAGGGTCTCCTGTCACAGCACTTTACCCTTCCTCTTCTCTTTCCAGGAAGTTTTCATCTTCCCTAATGTAATTTCCGGTCACCTCCTTTTCCTTCCACTCTTCACAAAGGATGTGACTATGCCTTGGCCCATGGGGAACCTTGTTTTTTAAGCCATTACATTGAGTCAATAATGTAAAGAAAGAGAAGTATTAGACCAGCCATAGTCCACTAAACCACAGTTGAGAGAAGCCAAGCTGTTTCTCCAAGAGTAAGCTCTGCTCATTAAAAATGCCTTTACAACAGGCCTTATGGCACAGGCCTGTCATCCTGGCTACCTTGGAGGATTACAAGTTATAGGCTTGCTATGTAACCAGTCTGAGTCTACTCTAGGCAACTTAGTGCAACACTCAAGTTCTAAAAGGGAGAAGTTAGAAGACAGAGTTCAGTGGCAAAGCTATTTGGCATGTCAGGCCCTAGATTCAATCCCCAGCACTAAAAAGACAAAGCAGACAACTCCAGCTCTACACAGCTGGTCTCTGATGCCTCCGACACAGGGGCCCTAGCTAGAAAGAGAACAGAATTCTTAAATACATGGACTTTTACCTCAGAAATTTATCAGCATATATTCTGTTGATCTTCGAGTTTTTTGTTTGTTTTGGTTTTTGGAGACAGGATTTCTCTCTGTGTAGCTCTGGCTGTCTTAGAACTCACTCTGTAGATCAGGCTTGCCTCAAAGTCAGAGATCTGCCTCTGAGTGGGCCTTTTTTACTAAGGGGCTTCTATGTGTTCTGAAGTTCCATCTCTGTGAAGACATTAATATACTTTAAATACTTGGGATGGGATCTGGTACATGATGGACGCTTTGTGTGTCATCACTACTATATGAAGAACATCTGAGCCACGGAAGTCCTGCAAAGTGTGCCTTAAAATTCTCACCTTTTTAACTTTTTTTTTATACACTAAAGTCAGTATTCTTATGAAGGCTCCCTTTTTGAAAAGCCACCTTGTCCCGAGAGGCTCTGGCCATCATTTTTCCAGCAGCTACCATCTTTTATTCTGGGAACCTTCTCTAGGTTTACTGACATCATTACTTTGTACTAAGTTGTCCACGTTGCTTACAAAGCTGCTCTGTAGCAACAGCCGTCTCATCCCCTCAAAGCTATTCCAAAACAGTTTAGCTTATCTGAAAAGGAGGCTTTCTTACTTCACCTTTTCAAAATAAACTTCTGGGCATGACATTCTGTAGTGTTCTTATCTAACAGCTCAAGGTCTCTTCTGGAGGCCTCTGGTACTTTGCAGTATATACTTCAAAACCCCAGGTAATGAACCACTCCGTGTTAGCCACTCGCAGCCACGCGTGGAGGACTTGGGCAGCTGCTCAGCTCCCTTCTGACTGGTTCCTGAGGCCTCTGCAGCTGTGTATGCAATGAGATTGTGTATTGTTTTATTACTGGACAGAGAATGGTATCCCAGAGAGGAGCCGTAAATAAAACTCAACTGTGGAGCTGTGACGAGGAGAAACAGCAGGGTTAGTAAGATCTCGCTGTTATTTATCTCCGCGTCCCCCTTAAACCCAGCGTACTTATATGCAATTTATATTTAATTGGCATGCCAGTGTTAATTTTAAAACAACAATCTAACAAAAATATATCGGGTATCTCTAATTCTTACTGTCAAGATAATGATATAAATTTATGACATTTATTTAGAAAGGATTGTTACCATGTGAAATTCGGGAGAGCATCTCGGCGATTCCTTTGTTTGTGTAGTAATAAAAAGCTCCTTTCAATGAAATGGTTTTCCTTTGGGTTTTTCCTTAGCTGTCACTATTTTGGCTCCACAGGCTCATTAATCAAAAGAGGAAAAGAGACACAAGTTCTAGTGTAAATTTATTAAACCATATTGAGAAGGCATGTGATGTCCCAGGGCGAGGTGTTCTTTGTCATCATCATGGTCTCCAGAAGGAGCTCTCATTTGCTCGCAAAGGCCATAATCTGTTCCTAGAGAAGAAGGAAAGGGAGGGAGTGATGCTTGGTCACTGCAAGTAAGAGGACAGGTGACTTCATAAAGAAACGTGACTAAAGGAGACAGGGCAGAAGTCCCACAGAGACCCTCCCACGATCCATGCTTATTTTAGCTGTAAGGACAGGGCTGACAGCAAAAGAAGGACAGCGTGGTCTTCAGGTTGCTATGTCCACCAAGAATATGTCTGACCCTCGGAGGCCCAACCAAGTGCTGAGGTATAAGCCTCCACCAAGCAAGTGCAAGCCGGCTTTGGACGCCCCGACTCCAGACTACAGGAATCTTCTCAGCATGGTCTTTAGCTCAAGTGCTGGGTGTGGGTTGCTGACTACTGCTCCTTTATCAGCTGTGCCAACTCCCGGAGCTTGGAGGACACCAAGCAGATGGCAAGTAGCTTCCTGCTCTCGGTCTCCGCTGTGGTGATGTCCTATCTGCGGAATCCTCAGCCCATGACGCCCCGTGGTGATGCCACCTAGGAGGGTCGGGTCCTGGACTCCGGCCCACCTTCTCTCTGGCCTAACCTTTGGCTGCCTCCACCCTCCCTCAGCTGCTCTCCTAAACTTGCCTGAGTGTGGTCTCTGGGCTCCCAGCTGAATGGAGGGAAGCTGGCCCTTTCCCTGGGGTCCTCTTCTGCTTTGACAGAGATAAACCTGCAGACTCCCTTTTCCCTTCCCTGCCTGCCGCTGTTATGAGAAACACTGGTCATGTTTCTAAGTATTCCCCCGTTTTCTTATTGAAACCAGTTGATATAAAAAAAATTTCTACTCTGAAAAATAAAAAAGAAAGAAAAAAGAACAGAGCTGGCAAGATGGTTCAGCAAGTAAAAAAAGTACTTGCCACACCAGCCTGAGCGCCTGAGGTCAGTCACTGTAACCCCTGTGCAAGGAGAGAGCAACTCTGGGAAACTGTCTTCTGACCTCCACGTTTGCTGTGGCATGTGCACACATGAATACAGGAGCCTGAGGAGGCCAGAGGAGGGTCTCAGGTGCCCGCTGTGAGCGCCCAGCATGGGTGCTGGGGACTAAGCTCTGTGAAGACAGCCAGCACTCTTTACTGACCTCTTTGGTCCTGTTTTGTTTTTATCCTTTATTTATATCTGGTGTGCCGACATGTTACATGCATGTCTGTGTACCACATGCATGCCCAGTGTACTCAGGCCAGAAGAAGGCATCGGATCCCCTAGAACTGGAGTTACAGATGGTTGTGAGCCACCATGTGGGTTCTGGGGATTGAACCAGGACCCTCTGAAAGAACATCCAGTGCTCTTAACCACTGAGTCATCTCTCCAGCCCTGTCCTGCTAACTATTCCAAATTATTGCCTAGAAGTGGACACCAACAAACACAGCAGATTTTCTTATTCATAACCGTCTGGGAAGGTACGGTCACTGCAGACAGTAGCATATGCTTTTAAAATTTAGAATTTTTATAGTCCTTTCTCTGTTAAAAGAAACACAAACAGTCAAATTTAGGAGCACCTTAAGTGGCCACTTACTTTGAGAGGAGACACTGCATTAGTTGCCTGCAAGCCCCACGTCCGGAGCAGCACGAGTGGAGTGGCACGGGTAGAGTAGAGCCTTTTCAGCAGGTCAGTAGCAGCCAGGAGAGCAGTATTATGACGTTGTCTTTCTGTTTCATAACCTGTGAGGTGGCTCATGGAGCCTGGGGTTAAAAAGCAAGAGCAAAGACAACTCTACTCCAGTAGTAAAGATTTCCTCTACTTCCAGCAGACTCTACTGCATCTCTATCCGATGTCGGGGTACCTGATTCCTTACCTAAGTCCTTCCCATTGAAGGCTGCTGTACTGAGATGACGAACCAGGCTGGAAATATCCCCGAAGCCCATGTTGACACCTTGTCCTGCAAGTGGATGGACTCTGTGGGCTGCATCACTAAGAGAATAAAGAAACATTCAGGTGTGGCCTCGAGCAAACACAGAAAGCAGTGGCCTACTCCATGACAGTCTTACCCAATGAGGGCCACCCGAGGCCGGACGTACTCAGCCGCATGTCCCAGCCCCAGAGGAAAGAGGGCTCTGCTCTTAGCATCCACCTTGGCTATACTTGGGGGTAGCTGACGCGCTGAGACCTTAGTGGGCTTCAGAAGGGCGACAGCGTGGTGTACCATGGCGCTAGCTGAGTCGACAAAGTCTGTGTGGTGAACATCACTCCACTGCAGGCCGGTAGCCCCCAACAGTGGAAAGTGATTAGTGACCAGTAAACACTCACTCACCAAAGAACCCATTTTTATAACCAAAGCTATGGGTTAATGCTATGTAACATGCCTAAACTGATTTGTTCATGAGTGACAAACCCCTGCTGGCAGGTTTTATTAAGGATCATGCCTAAGTATTTCTAGGTTGGCCCCTGACTAAAACTGAACTTTACTGTTCACTAGTTCTTAGCAATAGGCACAGAGGAACTAGAGTGCCGCCGCTCACCCTATGGTCTCCTAAGCTTAGGAGAGGCACAGAACGCCTCTAAAGCCTCCTCTCTGTTCCCACATCATCCTGCACACACATCTGTGATGGAACTCAGACTGTCACTCTCCCTCACTTGACTGTGGGCTTCCCAAGGCAGAGGCTCTCCAGAGCCTGTTACACAGAAGGCACTTCACCAACGGTGCTACACTGCACAGGAACGCACCCTAAATGACCCTCGGCCCTCGGCAGGCCTTTCTATCAGCACAGCAGCCCATAGCTTCCACTGTTCTGCATTTTCCTCTGTGCCCTCACAGTCTAAACCCAGGCTGTGCACTTGCTAAGAGGAAGCTGCATGGTTACCTCTTCTTCCTCATCACACCAGCAGCGGAACAAGGGGATACTTACAAAGGCAGAGTTGATGGCATCCACGAATTCTTCCTCATCCATGCTGACCAGCTCTGCTGCATGCTCGTGTGATGTGGACCAAACCAAGGAACTCAAGGTATCTGAGAGCTGCATCAAAAGAAGAGCATCAGCCTGGTGTGGTGGCACATGCCTGTCATCACAGTATACTGCAGTACAAATGAGTGTCAGGCCAGCCTGGGGGACAGCTCTCAGAAACAAACAAGAGCAACGAAAACCTGCTCTTCTGAACTTGGGCGTTTTCAAGCTCTGGAAACTAAGCAAAGGAAGCAATGCATTCCTGGAACAGAGCCCATTAAACCAGGCTGAAAGAAAGTTTGTTTGTTTTTTTTTTCTTTTTTAATTGTTATTATGTTTTAATTTTTTTAAAAAGATTTATTTTATTATTTATATGAGTACACTGTCAATGTCTTCAGACACACCAGAAGAGGGCATCGGATCCCATTACAGATGGTTGTGAGCCACCATGTGGTTGCTGGGATTTGAACTCAGGACCTCTGGAAG